ACAACACAGTCTAGACATAAGAGTTATGCTGATCGGAAGGTTCATGTTGTAGAATTTATGGTGGGAGAGAGGGTTTTGCTTTGGGTTTCACCCATGAAGGGTGTGATGAGGTTCGGGAAGAAAGGCAAGCTGAGCCCTAGGTATATTAGTCCTTTTGAGATCCTTGAGAGAGTTGGAGAGGTGGCCTACAGACTTGCATTTCCACCTACCCTATCGGCAGTTCACCCGATATTCCATGTTTCCATGCTCCGAAAGTATTTTGGTGATCCGTCTCATGTATTAGATTTTACTTCAGTCCAATTGGATAAAGATTTGACTTATGTTGAGGAGCCGATGGCTATATTGGACAGGCATGTACGGAAGTTGAGGTCAAAGAACATTTCTACGGTGAAGGTTCAGTGGAGAGGTCAAATGGTAGAGGAGGCGACTTGGGAGAATGACATTATATGCGTAGCCATTATCCTCACCTCTTCAGTACTTCAGGTATGTCTCTATCTCCGTTCGAGGACGAACGTTTGTTTTAAGAGGGGCAGAATGTAATGATCCGGCCGGTCATTTTGTATATTATAGCCCTGTTTCCCTATTTATATCCTCTTCTATGTTTATTTGTAGTTATGTGACTTGCCGAGGTGGTTGGATTACTTTCGGGAAAGGTTCGGGGTGAATTGGGGCACTTAGTCTCAAAGTTAGAAGCTTAGGTTGGAAGAGTTGATTGGAGTTTGACTTTTGTGTAGACGATACCGGAATGGAGTTTTGATGGTTCTGATAGCTCCTTATGGTGATTCTAGACTTAGTCGTATGTCCGGATGTTGATTTGGAGGCCCGCAAGTTGTTTTGACTCGAATTGGCGAAAGTTGGAAAGTTGAAGGTTTGGAAAGTTGATAGGTTTGATTGAGGGTGGACTTTATTAATATCGGGTTTGGATTGTAGTTCTAGGAGTTGGTATAGGTCCGTTGTGTCATTTGGGACTTGCATGCAAAATTTGAGCTCATTCGGAGTTGGTTTGGTTTGATTCGGCATTAGTTTTAGAAGTTTAATGTTCATTAGGCTTAAATTGGGGTATGATTCGTAGTTTTGATATTGTTTGGTGTGATTTAAGGCATCAAATAGGTTCCTGTTGTGTTTTAGGACTTGACCGTATGTTCGGACGGGGTCCTGAGGGCCCCGGGGGCCTTGGGGTGATTCGGATTGAATCTGGATCTATTTTTGAGACTTGGAGGATTTTGATGCTGCTGAGAACTGGTGCAATCGCACCTACGATGGTATGGACGTAGGTGTGGTGCCGTAGAAGCGGCCCTTTGACACGCAATATTCATAGGAAAAATTTGCACATGTGCACAACCGCAGAAGCAGTTTTCTTCCACAGAAGCACCTATTGGTTTGTTGGCGAAGGACTGCAGGCGTGGTCATTTTTCCGCAGGAGCGGACGCGCAGATGAGTATATGGGTTCGCAGAAGCGGAAGTCTGGGGCATAAGTGGAAGCCGCATCTGCATTGAATTTTCCGCATATGCGGCAGATACGACAGTGAGCCCGCAGGTGAGAAATGTCTGGGCAGAAATAGACTATCAAGGGTTTTATTTCATTTCACCCTTTTTGAGTTAGAGAGCTCAGTTTTTGACGATTTTGTAGGGGATCTTCAAGGTTTAAATCGGGGTAAGTGTTTTGACTCGGTTTTGTTCATTAATCATGATTCCATCATTGGTTTTATCAATTTTTCCCTTTTGAGTTGGAAAAATTGAGGGTTTTTGCAAAAACATTCCTAAACCATATATTGAAGATTTGAATATCGATTTGAGGTCGGAATTGAATAATTATAATATGGTTGGACTCGTATCGGAATGGGTGTTTGGAATTTGTAAATTTGGTCGGGTTCTGAGGTGCGAGCCAGGGGTTGACTTTTTGAGTTGACTTTTCAGTTTTTATTAAAGATTGAAATTTTATTATCCGAAATTGCTTCATATGGCTCTTATTTATGATATTAAATTGTTTGGCTAGATTCGAGCTGCACAGAGTTGGATTTGCGTGGAAAGGGTTTGTTAGTGGAGTGATTTAGCTTGTTTGAGGTAGCTATCTTGTCTAACTTTGTGTGGAAAAAATTACCCCTTGGGATTTGGGTTATTTATCTTATTTTAATTATGTGGGAGACGTGTACACGAGGTGACGAGTGTATACACGGACTTATATGTGGTATTTTGAACGGTTTAGACTCTTAGGCTTCTTCCATGCATTTAAATAAAATTGTCGCAACATGTTATATCTTCCACTGTTAAATTTACTCTCACATGCTCTAATTGATGTTGTTAGCACATGTTCTATCTTTGTTTGTCAAGTTTGCTCTTATATGCTTTAATTGAAATAGATACCTCTCTTATTGTCTTGTTACCTCTTTTATTGTCAAATTATTCTTATTGAAAATTGTCATTTCGTGGGAATATCTTCATTTTGAGTTATTAAAGTTGAAGTTGTGAAAGCTATTTACACATTGAGATTGAAGTTGTTGATTATCAAGATATCTTTACCCGTTGAGTATTTCTCATTCATTTTGCTATTATTGAGATTCTTGTCCACATTGTGATTAAGTCGTGGGCTGTATTTTTGTAACATTGATATTGTTGAATTTGGAAAGTGTTGTGGCATATGGGCACATGTGGTGCGAGTTGTTTATTATTTTATGATATTGATACGCATGAGGTGGTATAAGGATGGGGGTTGATACGCATGCAGTGAGATAAGATGGGATTGATACGCGTATTACTAGTAAGGGAATTACTTGAACCCATGCGGTGAGATAAGTGAACTAAAACGCGTGTAGCTATTTCGAAAAAATATTTTTAAAAATAAATACAAGGTTCACGCGGTGATATAAGGAAGATTGTGATTGTGACTTGTGAAATGCGATTGAGAGGTGTGACACATCGGTTGTGATTCTTGTTGTACATTTTGTGTTAAAGAGGCTTGTTGGTGAACAATTTTGTTATTTCTTTTTCTCTTTCATGTAATTGTCCGTATTTTATTATTGTTGATCATATCATGTGTTCAATCCTTGATGCCTTTGTTGTCTTAAATTTTGTTGTTAGCTTACTTTATCGTACTTCTTTGTTGACATTCAATTTCCTTGTTTTCCGTCATTAGAATATATTATATTTCATTCAGTTTTCTTGTTCTAGTAGGTGTTTTGACCTGGCCTCGTCACTACTCTACAGAGGTTAGGCTTGATACTTATTGGGTACCATTATGGTGTACTTATGCTACGCTTCTGCACATTTTTGTGCAGATCCAGGTACATCCGCTCGCACCGGATACCAGTGATTGATCAGCTATTTCGGAGACTTCAAGTTACACCTGCTCGACGTTTGCAAGCCTCGAAGTCACCTTCTGCTTTTGTTTTATTACTGTCATTTCCTATTCAGAACAATATTATATTTTGAGAACTTTAGTGCACTCTCTGTAGAGCTTATGACTCAGTTCCACCAGATTTTGCGAGTTATTTGTGAGCTATACTGTTTGAGTTTTATATGATAGTTTAACAATTTAAATTGATATCTATGTTGTCATTTTCGCTAATTACTAATGTATGTTAGGCTTACCTAGTCTTAGAGACTAGGTGCTATCACGACATCCTAAGATGAGAATTTGGGGTCGTGACAAGGGTGTTCCCGTGCCATGTTTGCATATTGTTATCATTGAATGAGTGAATGTGAGGTTTAAAGCATGAAGGATGATGTCGTGCACTTGATTTGCTCTATTATCATTGTCATGTTAGGATGAGAGTAAAAGCACGAAGGGTGATGCCGTGTACATGCTTTATTTATATTCTATGGTGAGGATGAGAGTAAAAGCACAAAGGGTGATCCCATGCAATTGCATTTATATTATATGGTGAGGATGAGAGTAAAAGCATGAAGGGTGATATCGTGCAATTTGAGGATTTCATTGCTTTTACTTGATACTTGGCTTGTGAATTTAACTTGGCAGTTTCGTTGCATATTTTGGAAAGAGACTTACTTGGTGATTATGTACTTATAGTTCAGATTGGTGATTATGTACTTATAGTTCATATTGTTACTCCCTTTTATATGCCCCCACCCCCGTTATATAATGCTTTACTTGTTATTTCCGTTGCTTTATATATATCTGCACAGGTTTATAGTAGGTGTCTTGTCTTAGCCTCGTCACTACCTCGCTGGGGTTAGGCTCGACACTTACTGAGTATATTGGGTCAGTTGTAATCATACTACACTTATGCACTTCTTGTACAAATTTTGACGTTGGTACCAGCGGAGTCCCGAGAGGCACTTAGCGGATACCAGTAGTAATTCGAGGTAGAGCTGTATTCCGTTCACAGACCTTGGAGTCACTTTCCTATATCTTGTACTGTTTCCATTTTTATATCAGACAGTGATGTACTTCTTTTAAACCTTGTATTTAGCTGGATTTAGATGCTCATGTACTTGTGACACCAAATCTTGAGGCAGTTGACGTTATATTACTGTTCAATTATTTGATATTTATTGCTTTTTCATTTGATATTTATTGCTTTTTCTTTCGTATTATTTTGTTATGTTGGCTTGCCAAGCAAGCAGTGTTAGGCACCATCACGACTCCGAGATTGGGATTTCAGGTCACGATTGAGATTTCAGGTCGTGACCTGAAGGGTAGTAGGGATATTCACAGTTCGTTAAAACCAAAATAAAACCAAATTAGATACAAACCATCAGTTTGGTTCCTATTGATTTGGTTTGATTTTGTTCGATTTTTGGATTCTTAAAAAGCTAATGAAAAATCGATAATAGTAAAACGACACAAGACAATAATCTGGAATAATTTGCTAGGTTTATGCCTCTTTACATATTTCTTTCGGAACTTAAAGTTTATTTACCTGTTCGTATGAAAAATATGAACAACGAATAAACTAAAATGCAAACAAAAGTTGCATCTTAACATAAAGAACTAGTTGTTAGCAGCCCGTGCACTGCACGAGCCCAACACTACAAGAACAAACTCCGAAATATTTTTTCTATAAGTAATCAAGCTTTATTAATACCAGTAGGTGCTGATACATCTTTTGAGATACAAAACGTGGTAAAACAAAGTAAGGTCCTATGGTTCCTGAATGATGTGAAGACTAAAAAAGTGTTACTGAATTGTATATATTTATAAGTTAGTTATAAAAGCTAACAGATGCAGCATTTCTATTCTAATGTGTATATTTTAGGTGCAACATCGTCGAAGCAATTAGTTGTTGTTCCTTCCAGGTTGTCCAGAGTAGACAGAGTATGCAGACAACATTTCAGATGGCCTTATGTTTCTTTCTCATCTTCCTTCCCGGCTAGCTTCTGGTAGCACCTCGTAGATTGGATAGTTTGATTTGAGTTTAGCTAATGTTTTTAGCAAAGAGTATTGGGCGACTGTTAAGGTAACAGAACTTTTCTGATCATTATACCTGAGAGATTGAAGCAAGTCCATCTTCGACCATCTCAACTAATGTTTCTTTTGAACTCTCAAATTACCTGCCACTACAAATTCTTTAAGATGGAAAGAGTTAGAAGATAGGGGGCAACAACTAAAAGATGTGAAGCACTAAATAGAAGACCCAAGAAAGGGAGCGAGAATACGTATGTTGTGTCACAAGTAACATCTAAAGTTTCTTTCAGTCCTTGCCTTGGAATGATCTATTCAATCCTCGCCAGTGAAGCTGTCCTGATCTAGACCTCCCCTTGTAACATAAACAAAAACTGGAGAAATTTATTGCTATTCTCGTATAGTTAGCATGAAGGTATCAAGTACCATATACCATCTTTCTCCAATTCTCCCTAATTCCTAACTTACTGGAAAGGCAACCTCTTCCTTGGAGTTATCCAAGCAACTACATATTTGTTATGTGAGCATGTAGAAGGCTCATAGCAATTTAGAAAGATACATTCTTTAAATCAATTATCTATGCTCTCTTTTACTTAAAGAGGTTTTCAGTTTAATCATCTAATGTATGGGGAAATTTTCTTTAGACTAATCCTTCTAGTGTAAAAATCCTTCTGTTGTCTGTACCTTTTTATGGAGCATTCATTGCTATTTGGGACTTTCCTCATGACTAATGCTTACTTCAGAATACTGCATTAAACAACCCTATACCAGTCCAATCATAAATTGTAAAGAGCATATATTGTTTCAATTAAAATAACCGACTACACTATGCAACCACCATTTATCTTTGAATGATCTTAGAGATTAGCATGGAAAAAATATAATAATATGATATAGTGAAAGAATGAAATGGACTAACATGTGCTGCGACTTATATCGAATCTAACTATTTGCCGTATGGTAAGCAAGTACCATAGCCATGTTAGGATTACCTTGTCCTAGAGTAAGGAATGAAAGAATAGAGCACGCTAAAAGCTAATATGTATCAGTAATATGTAAAAGCACAATTATTTTAAGTTTATCTGATAACACACATATTCATGTTCCTTCAAAGGCAAATGAAGATTGCAGGTGAGCAGTACCTTATTAATTAAATGATAAAGAATAAAGATAGCTGCCAAAGATGGGTATTTTATGAAAAGTCTTATCTATATGACTAAATATACAAAAATGATTTTGTTGTTTGTTACTTATATAGGAGAAAGATCTTCACCAATAAATAGCACTTTGATACAGAAATAGCAAAATATGAAGAAAATTCATCTGATATAAAATTTGATCTCGATCAAAAGCTACAGCATATAGCAGAGATAGCAATGGACAGTGCAAAAAAAGATAATGTCTGCTATGTTACTGGACATCTATTGCATAAGGGGTAACCTCTTCTCTGCAGGTTCGCCCGTAACAAACAATCATTGTGCAATGTTATCCATACAAAATGAAATGATGTCGAGAGGAGCCTTACATTTTCGTTTAAGTTTGCATTGTTGGTTGTGGAGATGGTTCGTGAGGTGAGAAGCCTATAGCAGCAGTTGACAGAGCAGTTGTCATTTTTGTCTTCCTTCCATACAATTCTGTCATGTTCTGTTGGTAGGAGGAGTTGCGTATAGACTGAAATATTTCGCCAACAATACAAGATTTTTTAATACATCCAGCAACCAAGTTTCAGAAGAGTGCTATAAAAGATAAGTCTAACTACAATAAAAACATAGATCTATAGTGAGTAGTGCTATATATTGTAAACGTAACACCTCTATTAAATATCATCAAAGGTTCTTGTGACTTTCTTGAGACATTATGAAACACCACATAAAGAAAGATCCGCAGGCAGAAAATCACATATTGTGAAAGACTGCAATTACAGAGTCCTTGAGACTAAAAAGGCGACACATGCCAAAGCAAACTACAAAAAAATGAGTCTCCATCTGTTTATACAAATGAAGATCAGACTCACCATACTGTCTTCCAAAAGTAAATTTACGAAACCATCAATTTGATGAGGTCAGTCACCAATTAGATATCTTGAATTGCTACATAAATATATTCTTGAAAGATGGCCCATCACTTTCACTGGTATCTAGCACTTGGTACAACCACCCCAACTTTTTCTTTCTTCATTTCTCTCTTATCCTTTCCTATTGGTGAAGCAACAGAAGTGGGAATATAGAGTAAATCTAGTGACATGTACGTGAACTTCAATAGGACAATCACAATCACATTTCTCTCTTAACATAATTTTGCAGGAACTGCACATAAACAGACCATGAAAATTAATAATGACAACAAATTAGCTTACCCTATATAATTTAAGTACCAATTATTTTTTCAAAAAGGTCATCTCGGCTTATTTCAAAGAGTATCTACTTCAAACTTGATATGACTTTTCTCAATACAATTCCAATTTCCTTAGTAAACATCTTGTGACGCCAATCAAGCTTCTTTAAGTTGGTGCATACTCCAATTGCTTATGAAAGCGAGTACACTTCAGATCCAATCATTGTAGATGAACACCTTAAATCCTCCCCCTAGTTGAAAATGTTTACTGCTTATGCTAATATAATAAGTATAACTTTTTCGTATAAATGTGCTGAAAATGGTGTTCTTTCCTTCTTCTTTTTTCTATAGTGGAGATAGTCGCACGTAAAGACAGACATATTAAAGGACTCTAACTTTACTTCCTCATTCTTCTGAAGCTGATATGTAAAAATCTCAAGAACATTATAGACTGCTTCACAAGTTTAGAGATATCAACAACACCCTCATCTCCTCTCATGTTATTGTAAAAATCAAGGACCCGCAGTTTGCAAGTCAAGGGAATTAGTTTGCATGCTGCATGTGCTATAACCAAAACCAAAATCATAGCTCTTTTTAGTTTTGTACGAATATTTCACCATGTTTACCTTATAATACATCTTTTAATTTCTTTTTAAATTTTCTTAAGGACTTATTTCGCCTGAGTATCAGTGTAGATCATGTTTATACATTGACCATGTAAAACCCATAGTAATTTAAAGGAAGCTTTATACCAAAACAGAGGGAAAAATGTGAACAAAGAGAATAAAATTAAAAGAACAGTAGAAGAAAGGGGATTAGGAACTGAACAGATAATATCTAGGAAATCTTAGATCTATGCAAATCAGAGACAAATCAGAACATGCATGTATAGAATGGGACAGGACGAAAGTAGAAACCAAATTGACACCCAATTTCAGCCAAAAGAAAAGTAAAAGAAACACTTTTTGTGAGGTTACCATCCTAAAACCAATTTCTTATGAATGAAATACCAATGTGTGTGAAACTCGTAGGTACACCATGTCATCATCCACTTCTTTTTGCATACACTACCATAAGCTGGGAAATTGATATGAAAATCCATAATTTTCTTTTTTCTTGACAATCCATATGAAAAATTGATATTACCCAAAATGGATGTTAATATTTTTCTTAGGAAGAAGAAAGTTCATCCATTACCTCTCAATATGAGCCGCCCACAGATCAGTATGAAGCAACTTCTTTGCAACCTTCACCCGTTTCCTCTTGTACACCAAAAAAATCCCGTGTGCCTTTTAGTTGTTTGGGCAAATTGTATTCTTAAAACCCCAATTTCAAATCTTAACACTAAAATCTCATTAAAGTAAAAAGAAATTACTTCATGAATCCCAAGACCAGAACGAAAAAAGAAAACAGCAAAATGAAGAATAGGGGAAAATCAGAGAAAGAAGAGAGCATGGAAGAAGAAGATAAGTAGGAAAAATTAAGAGTAAAATTGGAAGCGCAAGTGACAAAGGAGTAGGAAAAATGTTAGTGGGAGACAGATGTCCCGCAAAGACCAACCACTTGTCAGGAAATTGAGGAAAATGAAGGACTGAACTCCAATACAAAAATGCCCACGACAAACTTCTGTAATATCCATTTTACCCGTGTTCATCACATTCGTCCCATTTAACTGTCATTTCTATATAATACTTAATCATTTTACTGGTTACGGAATTTAAAAAAAGAGAAAAGATTTTTGAACTTGTGGTATAAAACAAGATATATATATTTTGTGTGGTTATAAATTATTGTATAAGGATAAATTATTTTCAAATAAATAAAGAGATCATATTTTTTAACACAAATTAAAAAGAAAATAAATTCACATAAATTGAATTGGAGAGAGTAGTAAAATGCCAATAGGTTCCAAGTAAAAAATGGAAAAGAAAGCTTGCAAGTTCAGGGGTCGCAAGCCATAGCCAACATTGAAACATGGCAATATGCATATAAGATCTACAAGTTATAAATTCTGCTATTAGAAGATTGAAAGATACGACAAATGAGAAATATTTAAAGTACTGCAGGAGCATAAATTCAAATATCTAAAGAGATATTCCTTTTTTACTTTTTACGTTTGATACTGTAGCACAAAATATGAAGCGGAGTACTAAAATTTTAGCAATAATATAAGATAGAAAACTGTACTATGTGAACTAAACTTGCATCACATGATAGAATCAAAATAACAAGCCAAAATAGAAGTTCCAAAGTATAAAATTTTGTCCATTAAAAATTTAATATTACGTATTTAAACCTAAAAAATGAGAGAATCCATAATATCATATTCACATCTACTTTTTTTTTTTATCTTCATAAAGATTACTTTCACATCTACTTTGAAACTAGTCAATGCTCAAAGCAGGTATCTGGATACTATGGGAAAAGAATTACCATATTAGGCATTACATCTTCAAAAACATAGAAGTATTCATAAAGTTAATTGTATAAAGTTACCTTTTTCAACGATCTCAAGTTTTTGAATTTCTTCTAAAAGATCTTCAAGCTTGCATTCTTTAGATGATGACCGCAACCATTGTTAACCACAAGCAAGAGCTTCAGCTGTCTTTGTTGATAAAGAACTTCGATAATAATAAAGAATCCGACCATCGGTGCTAAAAGATGATTCCGAGGCAACACTAGATGTAGGAATACCTAGCACATCTCTTGCATTCCTAGAGACAATTGGATATCTTTCCGATGAAACTTTCCATCAAGCCAAGACATTTAAATCTTTATTCTTTTACACATCATCTATCAAATACTTCTCAAGCTTAGTCATATTATCAATATTATTCTCATCTTCCAGAAATTTCTTCCATTGAGATTGCCACACATCACAACCATGCGTTGCATCAATTTACTCACAATAGTTTGATCTCAAATATTTTTATTAGAAGTCCCGGAAATAGAATTCCCATAGTGCTTATACAAGCGAGATAAAGTATCTACCACTTTGGGAGACGTTCCGTTTTCCTCCAAAGGAAAATAAAATTTGCAAAAAGAAATTTCACATACTTCATTTTGTACCGAGGATCCAACACAACAACAATAACAAATAACAACATATTCATATCCTCAAAATCAGCCCGATATTTACCAAACTTAAGTTTCATCTTCTTAGCCATATTAATCAAAATAGAATCAACCCCATCAGAATATTGGACAATTAAGCTTTGAAGATTAAAAAGCTCATGGAAGAAAGAATTAGAGGTAATATATGAAGTTCCTGAAAAATTTCAATGTGGTTTGGTAAAACTTTTAAGAAACTTGAGAAAGACTTTCATATTCTACCTATCTTCTGAAGATGGATGCCCTGCCATTCCACTAAATTCTAGAAAATAGTTAAAGAACTTATGATCATCAACATACATTCTTGAAAAGGCTTTTTTAAATGTTACTGCAGTATCTAATGTCAAGTATGTAGAGTTCCACCTCGTCTCAATATTCAAACTCAAAAGGCCATGAGTGTCTAGTTTGACCTTCTCAACATGTGACTTAAAGAAAGCCGATCTTGCTGGAGAAGACTTAACATATTTTACATCCATCCTCACCCGAGAAATAGACTCGTGTTGCTCGCTCAATCCTTATTTTATAATCAAATTTAGGATATGTGTATTACACTTAACATGTAAAAATCATTTCCAAGATGACACCTTTTCAATCATTAATCCTCCCTTTCAAGTATTTGAATGCAACATCATTAGTTGTTTGCATTATCTAGCGTCACTGTAAATGGTTTTTCAATCCTTCAATCTAACAAACAAGCCTCAATTCCCTTAGCAATTGTCTCACCCTTAAGATCTGGAGTAAGAAAAAAGTTAAGAATTCTTTTTTCAAATTTCATTCATCATCAATCCAATGGGAAGTAAGACCATAAAAGACAAATTTTGAATTGATGTTCATGTATCGCTAGTAAGACACATACATTGATCTCTAATAAGCCTTTTAATGTCACAATCCAAAATCTCACCAAGTCGTGATGGCACCTAACCCAACCCGCTAGGTAAACTAAGTAACACAAATTAACTGAATAATCTCAATAAAGTAAGTAAGAATGTGGAAATGCATACCACTAATCCCAAAAACTGGTAGTACAATACATGAGCAACTAAGATTGAGTTTACAATGTTAGAAAGAAGAAATACATCATATGTTTGAAAGTTACATCAACTAAAATTTATGTCCTATACTACCATGAACTAGTGGTAGCTTATATCCGGAATGCTGGTATATCTTCAATGCTAGCCTAGAACTCCGCAGGTTCTAAGGTCCCAATATCTGCACGCAAAGTGCAGACGTGTAGTGTGAGCACAACTGACCCCATATACTCAGTAAGTATCCTGACTAAACTCGGTAAAGTAGTGGCAAGGTGTTTAAATAAAAAGATACTCGCTTAATATATCTGTGCAGTTTATAAGCATAGAGATAGCAAGCGAAATAGCAAAAGTAACAACAAGAATATATGCGGAAAAACAGTAAATGGATTCAATGAAAGAAGTAATAACCATGTTTCTTAAATAAAAACAACCAAACCTACCTTAACAGCTCAATTTAATAGGGACAAAACGATATCTGAAACCAAAACTCATAACATATATGTTGGGGCATCAACCCATCCAGACATGAAATTGTTGCGGCGGCAACCCGATCCTCATCACATACTGTGCGGCGTACACTGATCCAACATACCAATTCGTATAGTTACACCCAACAAGCAACCACGTATGGAATAACATAACATATAAAGAGGACGAATACACATAATTGGACATATGAATACGAACAAGATGTGATAGACAATTCAATATCCAAAAAAATTAGTCTCACACATATATTCCATCAAGAACTCCAACAATATTAACACGTGAACATTCAAGTAGCCACGCAATCCAATATAGAATATGAGAATAAGACATGAAACAAGAAAAGATATAGAGAAAATAAAGGCATGAGATGAGTATGACATGTAACAAGTAAAGTCAGGCAACAAACAAAGGCATGTTTCAAATAAAGGCCTGTAGCAAGTAAATGCGTGAAACAAATAAAGGCATGTGACAAGAATGATAGTAAAATATAGATGTGACAGTAGCAAACTAATAGGAAGCATGAAAGTGGTACTTTAACAAGCATCATGCATATATAGGAAAACGTCTGAAAAGCATGTGAGGATAAGTGCATGCAGTTGCATAAACGAATACATAGCTATACATTCACATGTAAACAACTCACAACAGTGTTGCGGCGCGCAGTCCAATTCGATCATAATATTGTTATGGCATGTAACCCGATCCAATAGTCATACTGTGCGCGTGCACCCAGTCCCATATAACATTGTGCGACGTGCACCCGATCCCATTATATTAATCAACACAAAAACAATACAACCAAACCAACAACCTAACCAGGTAACCTTATCAAACAGGCGGAAGGCATATACGTAACAACAACAAATAAGGTAGAAGGCACAAGTATAACAACAATAATTAAGGTACAAGGCACAAGTATAACAACAATAATTAAGGTAGAAGGAACATATGGGACGATGATAAACCAAGTAAAAAGCATAGACATAATGATAACAAACCAAGCAGGAAACATATATGTGATAGTAATAAACTAAGTAGGGAACATATATGTGATAGCGATAAACAAAATAGAAAACATAGATGTAGACTAAGGAGGAAAAATAGATGTGATAATTGAAAATAAGATAGGAAAGCATGTAGGTATCACGACCCAAAATCCAACTAGTCGTGATGACACCTAAACCAACCCCCTAGGTAAGCCAATTAACAATAACACAATCCAAAAGAGATAAATGAGAAACAAATGATGAAATAACTGAACTTTTATATAACAACCCAAGGACTGGTAGTACAAGTCATGAGCCACTAAGATTTAGATTTACAAAACTGAATTAAAATAATTACAACATCTGTTTGGAATGTACATGAACAAAATTCGAATCTAAAGCTATCAAGGACAAGTCATAGCCATAACTGGAACGCGGGTACATCTTCAATGCCAGCTCCTGCAATACACAGCAGCAACAACTCCAAGATCTGCACGCAAGGTGCAGAAGTATAGTATGAGTATAACCGACTCCATGTATTCCATAAGTATCCTAGCTAACCTCTGCGAGGTAAAAGAAGAACTATAAATGATACTCACCAACACCTATACAGTTCATAATTTCAACAAGCATAGAACATATATATGATCAAATCAGGAAATTTCAGGTAAAAACCACTCTGATGCTCACAATTTATTATTTTTAAAGTGTTCTACTCAGTCAACAATACAACATATAAAGAAGATATGTAAGTAAATCAGGAAAACAGTCAAGGAAATTACAAGTAAAAATGAAATGCAATAACCAAATATCAGTCCGTTATGGCGCGCAACCCGATCCAAATATAGTAACCAGATCTCCTAGAGCTCACATCAACCTGAAAACCATCGATTTCTCACAATCCGCGTGTATACCATCAAGAGAGAAACATGAGAGGGTGACCCTATGGGGGATGGATCCTTATCCACATGCAAGCACGACCAATTCAACGTGCTACCGGCCCAGCATGGTCACAGGCTCATAATCAACCCGACGTGGTCACAGGCTCAATGTGATGGATCTGCTTGACGTGGTCATAAGCTATATCATAATCCGCCCGGTAGTCACAGGTATATCAACACAATCCGCCTGGCGTGGTCATAGACATAACAACATAATTTGCCTGACGTGGTCACAAGCATAACAACAAAATTCGCTCGGCGTGGTCATAGGCATAACAACACAATCCGACCGGCATGGTCACATGTATAACAACACAATCCGCCCAACATGGTCACATACATAACAACACAATTCGCCCGGGGTGGTCACAAGCATCCAGTCCAAATCATATCACACAGAAGCAAGTATACAAGAACATATGTATTTGATGAATAAATATAAGATTTCATGCTCCTGTACTGGTATAATAACATGCTAACGTGTAGGCATGCGCAAAGTATGCTATCACAGCTCAAATCGGCAATTGCATCACAGAAATGGCAATTACCAAGTTTATTCAGAGAACTAGCCTCTTCGTAGCCTCAAACATGGCTCAAATAGTTCACAACAATGTTACAAATATGAAAATCATTATAGCTTGAAGCTTAACAGTCAATTCTAGGTATATCATAGCCTAAGTGCTATCCCGAGCAAGGATAAATACCCTAGTGCTCGCACATAGGCTCAAACCCCACACATATGCACACCCATAGCACGTACTTACCACAAATAACTCCAGCAACTAGTGCCTCAACCAAGTTTAGATAGGATACTTAGCTCAAACACGACAAAACAAATATCGAGCAAGCCAAAAAACACTCTAGAAATGCCATCCCCCGCGTATCAACCTCCGAACGGCTCGAAACCCAATCCATGTGGTGAAAAATCTCTCCAAAATTGCCCAAAACCGAGCTCTAAATCTCAAAAATGTGAAATAAATGACCAATCCCTCGATATATAGCTTCTGCCCAGGCATTCCCGCATAAGCGGTCACATTGTCGCACATGCGACCACCGCTTCTGCGGTATCAATCACGCTTCTGCGAGAACCAGTGGAAGTCCGACCTTCCGCACCTACGCAAAAGCCCCGCTTCTGTGCAAGCGCAGGTGTGATACCAAATCGCGCTTCTACGCACTTCTTAGCTTCTGCAATCACAACATCCGTTTCTGCGGTACCGCAGATGCGCTCCAATTCCCGCTTCTACGGACTCCTGCTCCCAGTTCCATTTGTGCTTCTGCGGCTATGACTACCGTATCTGCACCTAATTTTCGGCAGGTGCGGTCACACCAGAACTTAGCCAAAACCAGCATTAACCAATAAGTTCCAAAATGATCCAAACTACGTCTGAAACTCGCCCGAGCCCCTCGGGACCCAATCCGAATATACCAACAAGTCCCAAAACATAACACGGACCTACTCGAGGCCTCAAATCACACATAAAAATATCGAAACGATGAGTTACACCTCAAATCAAACTTAATGAGCTTTTGAACTTTCAATTTCCAAATCTCGTGCCGAATCATATCCAATCAACTTAGAATGACCTCAAATTTTTCATACAAGTTCCAAGTGACATTACAAACCTATTACAACTCTCAGAACAATAATCCGAATCTAATATCATCAAAGTTAACTCCCGGTCAAACCTATAAACTTTTCAAACCTTGAAATTACCAACTTTGACAATTAACGCCAAAACCTTCAAGAAATATCCAAATGCAAATTCGGGCATGCGCTAAAGTTCAAAATCACCATCCGAACCTAACAGAACCATCAAAAATCCGATCCGAGGTCAAATACATAAAAGTCAAATTTGGTTAACTCTTCTAACTTAAAGCTTTCTAGTTGAGAATCATTCTTCCAAATCATTCCCGAATCACCTGAACACCAAAACCGACGATTCACGGAAATCATAATACATCATATGAAGCTACTCAAGATGTCAAACAGCTGAACGAAATGCAAATTCTCAAAACGACAAGTTGGTTTGTTACAGTAGGAGCAACCAAGGTAGAATGCATGTATGTATCTAAGAACAAACAACCATAACGTAAAGTCGAACTCCCAATCCTCTCCACATGGAGACTATAAACGTGCAAATCTCAAATCAAACCGCACGGAGATACCCATCGTACCAAATATCATATCCACTGCACGAAAATACCAAACATCACCCCAAAGCTCTAATCATGATCGTTAATATAAATAGAGAAGCTCAAGCAGCACAAGAATAACGAGTACATATATGAGTTCGTGATATAAGGCATGACTACAATCAAATCAGGTATATCAACAACTTAAAGAATAGCCCTTCATGATCATTTAAGATGTCATAATCCTAAACATGATTTCTAGCATGGATATGGTACTCATGTAGTTTTAGAAACAAATGAAACATAAGTCAAGAAGATTACAAAATTTAACAAGGCACCAAGAAACATATAATCAACCTTGAGCATGGATAATCCTAGCACATGCATATACGCTCATCACGTCCCATATGCATCACCCCGCATGTAGCAAACAATATCATTACTACTATTATAGAAGCGACAAAGAGAGGAGCTTGGGGTAGTAAGGGTAGTTTGGGAATTTTGATTATTTCAGCTACACGTGTTATCTTTGATTTCTCAATCTCTGCCACGTCCATATATGCAACTCAACTCAGACTGAAGGTTCCTACTGCTCTTTCTCCGGATTTTCATGACTTTCTCATTTCCTCTTCAATTTTTCTTTGTCTCTTCTGGTCTTTCCTCTTGCGGCTCTGAAACGGTTATTAGGTTAGTTATGTTTTGCCTGGATTTTCTCTTCCTTCACTTCAACTTCTGTGTATTTCCTTCAGAATAAGGGGCTTTGTTGTATATGTGTTTGAGAAAAATTCTTCAATGAATCAGACTTTCTACTCGATTTCTATTATTGTCTTCGGATTTAATTTCTTGGCTCGCTTGAGCGAAGAATAATCTGGTAATTTTAATTTTGGATAATTTTGATGGTATTCTATTTCCATCTCTCTGTAATTTGTTCTGCTTCTTCAAGCTTGCCCACAAGTTTAATTGGTACAAATCCTTGACAAGTCTCACTTACCTTAAATCATCTGAAGTTTTGTCCTCTCTTGAATTTTCTTATTTTTCTTCAAGTTGTTCCTGAAAGAAATTTAAAGAAAGTAATTTCAGAAGACATGATATTATAGTTGGTGATAATTTAAAAGCATACAATAAAGGAAATACGATCAAGGAAAACGGAGGAAAAGTTTAGCACTAAATGAGATGCACCTGTTGAAACCTTTGTAACTATAACTGTGAGAATGAAGGAAAAGAGCAAACAAGAAGCTGATATATGGATGGTCTGAAGTGGTCGATGTACTGAACTGCGATCCTTTATCTTCATTAAGTGTGCTTTGGACAAAAGAAGTTGAGAAAGAACATCATATCTACTTCTGAAGTTTCATTTCCCCTAAATATTAGTACATACTTTCAATTAAAAACCAGTCAATGTTGTTTGATGTGAAATAATATTATTCGTTAGCATCTTAAGTCAAACCGCATTGGTAAAATGATATGAAAATGAACAAGTAAACTTAAGAATTAATCGGTTCCTGCTGCTTTGCTTTTACTTATCACTTGACTTTGTTTCTCCTCTCAACTCTATTCGTTGTTTGTCCTGTTATCCTCTTTGTTCTCAGAATATGCTTGTAGACTAATGAACTAACAAAGAGAGATGTGTATTAAATCAGTTTTCTTTCTTTCATATCTCTACCCTTTAAGTCTATGTGCTTTTTGTGTATTTAAGAGTTAATTTTTTGTTCTTGAGATTGTCTCATTAGTTTTTTGTTCTTCGATGTACTACTACACATTAATTGGTTGTTATATCTTGCTATCCAATCATTCGTCCACGTTAGCACGACAAAGCCTTGCCGAAGTGGTGAACACCTGCAACTCTATAACTCTATAACTTTGTGATGTAGATCTTGCCTTAGATGTGAGGATGAGTGAGATGCCTACAAATTGATATCATATTGTACAATAATATAACTGTGCAATCTGATAAGTTGATAAACGTTGTTGAATGGGATAACATAGGCAACATATACAGTGGGTGAAAATTCAATGTATGCTGATAGGTTATAAATATTTGTTCTTTAGATCACTTCGTCTAAACACAAACAAATACTATTTTTCGTGCCTACAACTTTTTGGATTACAATGTTCAATTCAACAGGGTTCAATTTAATCTCTATTTTTGTTCGTCTTATCATTAAAATAATCAAGTTGCTTAATGAGAAAGCCTAAGGCTTAAAATTGATATATGGCAAGTTACTACACCTTTTTATCTTTATTTTTGTGATGTAGGTTTGTACTGTGATTAGAATACTGACATTTACAAAACTCAAGTTTTCTTAACAACGGATCCTCAACAAACAAAAAAACGTCCTTGCATAACGACAGAAGCTTATGATAAGAATGCCAAACGACTTGAAGTGTACAACGATATGACCATGGCTGAAAAGAATGCGCTTCTGTTGCAACGACGTCTGAAAAAAAGAGAGACAACAACTAATCGTATTCTCGCAAGTAAGACTTCTGTCAATCCTATTGAACAGCATCTGTAATGCATGGTAATTTCGCTGCTGGAGCCTCTTGTTCTATGTCAAAAATAGGTTAGAATACTAAATTCACTATCTGTCTTTTCCCACACATATATATACACACACACATATGAGTGCGCATGCGATTCTCATGTTTGTTAACAATTTTTTCTTGCAACAGTCACTGAATGTGAAGTTTTTACGTCACCTGATGTGCTTCGCAAGGAGAAAAATGTGGTGTACCCTTTTCATGTTTTCGAAAAAGGTAATCATGCAACCTTGATCACTGACGTTTCTACATCTGTTATGTTCAAATGTTTAATCCATAATCGCGTTGCACCAGGTTCTACATCTGGCACCTCAAATGAGTCAAGTGCTACATCTTTTGAGACGATTTTGGCTGACGGTTAGTATGAACATAACATATCGTTTTTACTATTTGCTGTTTCATAATTTTTTCAATTGCTTAAGTCTGTTTGGCGAATGCAGGTCATGTAAAGAAAAAAATTGACTAATACTGGTTATGGAAAAAAGAGAAATATGCCTAATAATATCTGATTACGCTCTAGAGTATTTTCCACTTAAAAAGTGCCAAAATGTGAATTCTGCTCGGCCAAAAAATTTCAGTTTGAATTACCTTCATTTTGTTGTGCTAACGGTACAGTTAAGTTGACTTATCATAGAATGCCACCTACTAAGAAATTTATTTCTAGGATCTTCTGCAAAATGCAAGCACTTCCGGACGTACATTAGAACATATAATAATATGTTTGCTTTTACCTCACGTGGTGTCAATTACGATAAAGATTTAGCCAAAAGAAATCATGGTATATATACATTCATAGTTCAAGGTCAAATGTATCACTTTATAGATGATTTATATCCTGCAGAGAGAAGGCCTAAAAATTTGCAGTTGTACTTTTATGATAACGATAATGAGATTGCAAATAGAATGGCTTGCTCTGATAAAATAGATGAATTAATAGTGTGGGAATTGATAGACACACTAAAAGATAATCCATATTCTATATTTTAACGAACTTTATCTGAGATTTCGAACTTACAGAACTATCACATCGCACTTAAATGTAACTCTGGATTGGATCAACGAATATTTAACTTGCCAAGTACTATTGAGGTTGCAGCAATATGGGTTGATGAGAATGATGTTGGTGCTATTCATGTATTGCACGTTCAAATTTATACTCACAGCAATAGAACGCAAAGAGTGAACTACTATTTTGGGTGTTTTTATCCTTTACAGTATCCTTTACTATTTCTGTATGGCTAAAGTGGGTGGCATTATGGTATTAGAAAGTTTCACGGAGAAGAAAATATGCCTAAAAATTATGCTTTGTCTGATTTGAAACAATTACCAAATATAAAAAATTTCACGTCTGTTGACGGATATCTTGATATGGAAGATCAAGTTATGCAAAAAGGAAAACGAAAGAGAGATACAGTTTTAGTTCGTGAATACTACAGTTACAAGCTCCAGATGAGAAACGATGATGAATATGAACTTCTACATACAAGGAGATTACTTCAACAATATTCAGTTGATGAATATATAAAATTGGAGACTCAAAGATTGGATTTTGTTTTCTTCAATCAAGATTTGTTCAGAATGGATATTTTAAAAGGACTTCTTGACATTTTAAGACATGGTGAATGAGATGCTTCTAATGTTGGAAAATAAACATTTCTGCCAAAATTTATTTATAGGAGGGCCTAGAGATATGCGTCAGCGTTATATGGACGCTATTGCATTAGTGCAGTATTTTGGAAAGCCCGATCTATTTATAATGATGACATGTAACCCAGCTTGGCCAGAAATTGAGGAACATTTAGCACCTAGCGATGAGGCTCAGAATAGACTGATTTGATTAGTCGCGTATTTAGGGCCAAAATAGAAGAGTTGAAGACGGATATTCTAAAACGAAATATCTTTGGAAAAGTTACTGCTTTTATGTATACCGTTGAGTTTCAAAAACGAGGTTTACCTCATGCTCATTTTCTTATTATATTGCAGAATAACTATAAATTGTTGACAGCTGAAGCATACGATGAAATAATTAGGGCAAAATTACCAGACACTAATGCAGACTCAGATTTGCGTAAGCTTGTTCTTAAGCATATGATGCACGGTCCTTGTGGTAGTTTAGACCCAACAAATTCCTGTATGAGGAAAAAAACTGGTTCTTGCAAGTTCAAATGTCCGAATATGTTTGCTGATCAAACATCAAAAGGAAATGATTCTTATCCAATTTATAGCAGACGAAACACAAGTGAAGTTGTGAAAGTAAGAGGTCATTACTTAGATAACTCTTGGGTCGTTCCATACAATCTGTATTAACTCGGTAAATTCAACTGCCACATAAATGTTGAAGCTTGCTCTGATATAAAAGTTGTGAAGTACCTTTATAAGTACATCTGTAAAGGACATGACAAAATTGCATTTTCTGTACAGAATAATGATGCGAATATAGAAATAGATGAGGTAAATGAATATCGGTCTGCTAGATGGGTATCACCTCCGGAAGCTGTATGGCGTCTCTTTCGTTTTTCTATTATCGAAATGTCTCCTAATATTTATCGTCTTTAGCTGCATCTTGATGGACAACAACTTGTTTCTTTCAAGAAAAATATGGATGTAAATACGATTGTAAATAATTCCATGATTAAAAAAACTATGCTGACTGAGTTCTTCTATATGAACAAAACAGATAAGAATGCCATAAAGCTGAACTTATTGTACAGAGAATTTCCTGAATACTTTGTGTGGTCCTCCAACAATAAATTTTGGGCACTTCAACAGCGTCGTTGTGTTGTTGGTCGCGTTGTAACATGTTATCCAACAGAAGGAGAATGATATTATCTTAGATTGTTATTGATGCATGTACGTGGGCCGACATCGTACGAGGATCTTCTTGTGGTAAATGGAGAACCTTGTAGTACATTTAGAGAATCTGTGGAGAAAAGAGAATTATTACAGTGTGATAACAATTTAACGGAATGCATGTCTGAAACAACAAGTTATCAGATGCCATATAGTTTAAGGCATTTTTTTGCTACATTATAGGTACACTGCAACCCTACCAATCCAAGAGAACTATGGCAGCAATTTGAATAGTCTATGTCTGAAGATTATAAAGTGTTACAGACTATTGAAACAAAAGAAATCCGATATCAAGTTCTGAACCATATTAATGATATTTGCATTCTATGGGTCACAATGTAAATGAATATGAACTCATCCCACAAACAATTAGGCCTTCCGCAGCAGCGAAAGAAGCAAAAGAGATTCACTTTGAAAGAACTATTATTGTCAGTGAAGACGAGGTACTATTGCATAAGAGACTAAATAAAAATCAACTGACAACATATGCTGTAATTATCAACAGAGTATTTTCCAACAAAGCGGGCGCATTTTTCATTGACGGTCCAGGAGGAACTGGAAAAACTTTCCTATACTGTGCTTTACTAGCAACTGTACAGTGTATGGGATATATCGCTTTAGCAACTGCGACTTCTGGTGTCGCTGCTTCTATTCTCCCTGGTGGGCGTACTGCACATTCAAGCTTTAAAATTCCTATTGATATTGACGAGATTGTCAGCTGCAATATTAGTAAAGAAAGCGCACTTGCGAGTTTAATTCGCGATGCAAAATTGATTGTATGGGATGAGGCATCTATGGCAAATAAAAGAATGCTAGAAGTTTTTGATTTGCTACTAAAAGATCTCATGGACAAATGTAATATTCGATGGAAAAGTAGTTATTTTTGGGGGTGATTTTAGACAAACTCTTCCCGTTGTGAGAAATGAAAAAAAAAGGAAGATTTCATTAATCAAAGTTTGTTATATTCCAGCATTTGGGCCAAGCTAGAAAAAAGTCAATTATCTGAGAATATGAGAGCAAAAACAGATCCAGCGTTCTGTGATTATTTGCTAAGAATTGGGAATGGACAAGAACGTCTTAACGCAACAAACAACATTGAAGTACCAAATTCTTTAATTGTGCCTTTCACAACTGAAAGAGAATCTTTAGATAAACTATTCACAGTGACATATCCATATTTGAATTCATCTGGTTATGACGCTTCTTGTACAGACTCCCGTGTAATTTTGACAACAAAAAATAATTTTGTCGATGATATCAACGATATGCTTATTGATCAATTTCCAGGAAAAGCAAGAACATTTGTTGGTATAGACCATTGAATCTAACAATCAATCACAGTTTGAAGATCTATTGCATACTTTAAACCCTGCAGGTTTGCCTCCGTACATATTATCTTTGAAAAAGAATTGTCCAATTATGTTATTACGAAACTTAAATCCATATGAAGGTTTATGCAATGGCACACGATTACACTGTTGTGAATTTAAAACTCATGTTCTAAGTGCTAAGATTGCAGCAGGCGATTTCAAGAATACGCATGTATTTATTCCAAGAATACCATTATTATCATCAAATGATGAAAAATTGCATGTTCAATTCAAGAGAACACACTTTCCAGTAAGATAATGCTTTGCTATGACTATAAATAAAGCGCAGGGTCAGACAATAGATTTTGTGGGAATTTATTTGCGTGAACCTGTATTTTCCCACGGCCAACTTTATGTTTTCGAACTATGTGAAATTGTTGATTCGACCTCCCATCCCGACTAGCGATGATGATCATTCTACCTGTAACATAGTTTACGATGAAATCATTCAAAAGACAATCGTGTGATGTTTCTTACTACAAGACGATTCTCTAAGTCTTTTACTCTGAAGTGGATGATTCCTTAGCAGAATATACTTCGTTTGTATCTCTAAATGTTAACCAACAGGTATTTTCATCTTCCATTTGTTTTCATCTCAACTTCATCTTGATCTCTATCTAATATGATTGCTTTTTTTTTTTTATTATAAAAAGTGATTGAATTATTCATTTATGTAATTTCTTCTTTCTCTATCTGCTTTGCTAATCCTCTGCTTTTTCTTCTGAGATTCCTGTTGCCTGAGATCCCCATTTAGGATTGTTTTCCGTGCTTCCTGCCTTTTCCAGCTTCCACGCTCTCCATTGGTACCTTTTCTAGGTAAGCTTTGCGGTTAATACTACAAATTGAATTATCTATAAAAACTTTGAAGTTTCAAAGTTGCAGTTACAAAATTGCATCATGTATCTATAGAAGATTTTAATGGAAATACCAGTATATCTAATATCTTACTTTCCTGGTGTTTTACATCTATATCTGTAGTGGCTTCTGTTTTTCTTTAACTTTGTTCTTCTAGTTACATAACCTTATTCATTCTTTAGTGTTTACCTAAAATAAAGAATTGCTAAACAAGACTGATGAATGGTTGTACGCTGAATTATTAACCTTGCTAGGACATTCCGCGGTCATTGCAAACTGTAACTGGTGACAATTAATTAATCATTCTATGATTGTTTCTTGGTGCAAGATGGAAGGCTAATATATTTTTACTCGAATGTTGCGTATAGGTAAAGCATATTACATTTTAGTAGCATGATGTTTGTAGGTGTTGTTCCAAAATATTTTGCTTTCTCTTCAGAGAAATATAATATGTACGTGATGATAAATATAATACTTGGAAAAGCCAAAAAGAAAAAGAGAGCAAAACAAATGCATTCCGAAAGCAAAGACAAGCCTGATATGTCTACAAATCTGTATGTTTCATTTCTTTCGCTACTTGCTACTTCTCAATTTCGTCAACATCTGTTTTGACTCTTTAAGTCTCCTCTCTTGTGGATCTATGAAACATTAGCAGTAAACTTCTCCTTGAGGTTTCCTTGCAGTTGGTGAGCTACTCAAGAAAAACTTTCCAGGTTTGCTTCTCTTATCATCTTTCGACTTTTCAATAAATTTTGTCGTTCTTTGATCAAAATATTTTAAGATTTATTATAATTGACTTGGCACACTTTCTAATTATCCTAAAGTGTAATTATTGAAACTCTTCTGTCACATGGAAAAGGTATGAAATTGCATTTGCAGGTAGTATAAAATTAACCAATATTGTTTTAGCAAATGAGCTATTACATTTGGTTTATAAATGCTATTGACATTATCTTTGAATGAATCTGTCATCAAGCAATATTGTGTTATCAATCAGATTTTTTTATGCAAATATGAGAAAATAAGAAGATGATATGTTACTATTAGAATGTGAATATGATAAGGCTAGTTTTGAAAGAATCTTCATTTTACATAACTGGATGGATATTCATATTTTCTTCCTTTAATTTGTTGAATTTTCTGTTTTTTATTTTGCCTGGTGTAATGATTAAGCTCTATTCTCCTGTTGTTTGATAAATCAACTGCTTTTAGGATTTGGAGAGAAATTATACGAAATTTTGGTACTTTTACTTCATTTATTTTATTTGTGTTAAAGAAAAGGCCAAACCTGAATAATGTGTTGTTGGCCACTCAAAAATACCACATTCTGTTAAGTCGAAAAGATTCCAGCTGTAGTTGTTGGGGCAGAATGTAAAGCTATATTCCACCCAAAAGGACAAGAACTTTACTTCAATTAATTTTGCCCATCGAGCTATATACCCTCAGTAGCTATTTGATAAAACAAACACACACATGAATATGGTAGGTATTTGACAAAACAAAAACACCCGGACAAACAAGGTTACATTAATGATGTAGTAAGAAATAGATTTGTATATATTATTCTCACTATAGATTACTATATTCATTATTTTGCAAAGGAAAATAAGTAGTAGTATATTTTTTTTTGTTAAATTAATCATTTTTATGTAGATGAGCAAATAAAGTTGTATTATTCACGGGATCATTAGCGGAATAAGTAAGTTGATGATTCTTTTATAATGAAAAATTGCAAAAGATATTTTTTAATGTTTCTTCTTCACTCTATACATATTTGGAGTACCCAGGTTTCGAAGTTTAATCACTACTACATATTCTTACAGTTTAATTTAACTGAGAATGCATGCATGCAAGATAACAACCCCACCTAAGGATTGTCTTTCTAATTATCCCATTTTTGTAAAGTTTCAAAATTGAGATCTAGGACATAGATTCTCACCTTTAGGATGAAGATTTTCTTTATTAATCCTCAATGATTGAACAAGAATTGATGGATAATAGGTTGAAGGTTACTCCCCCACACTAAGCACTCTTTCTCACTCTAAAAGTATCAGAAATTCCCTCAAATTTGACTATGGCATATATTTTATCGAAGTAGGGTCGGGTTACAAAAACCCAAAAATGAAGCCCCAGGACAGGATCTGCGGTCGCATATGCGACCGCATAATGATTCTGCGGTCCGCGAAATGACCGCGAAAAATGGCCTTCGAATTTGGGCTTGCCTGCTTCACTCTGCGGCCGTTATGCGGCCCGCAGACCTGTTCTGCGGTCGCATAATGCGCCGCAGAACCTCCCTTCACAAAACTTTTAAGGCTGATTGTGCGACAAAAGTGCGGCCCGCGAAATGGTTGTGCGGTCGCATAACTGGCCGCGTAATTGTCATAAAAAATGGCCCAAGTAGCTGCTTCACTCTGCGGCCATTCTGCAGCCCGCAGAGTGATTATGCGGCCGCATAATGGGCCGCAGAAATGACTACTCTGCAAAATATTTTCCTTTAACTCCGTCCGAACCCCGGTTTTTAGGAAAAGTCCGAAGAATTTCTACTATTATTAACCTATACGCCTACCCCGGCATCACGAAACCCCGGTTTTTAGGAAATATTTTACGGGGCCTTACAGCCTTGTCTCGCCTCACNCACAGACAACTCACATGCGAATACCCCGACAATCCTAGCAACAATATCACGTGTGCCAAAAATATAACAACACAATATAATGACTTACACCACATGTGCCCATATGCCAACACATTCCCTCAAAACAATTACAATTCCCCAAGCACACATAGCCCTCGGCTCAACAACACTGAGTACAACAATAACAACAATAATACGAGAGTACGACAAGTAAATCAACACAAGAATTACAAAACATAAATAAACGGAAGAACGAGCTCACAATGAAAGACATGACAAGTAGTAATGGTTTCAAACAAGAATAACTCAACAATGGGAGAGATAATGTGTAACAACGGTATCCAACATTTGAAGGGATAACATGTAACAATGTTTCCGAATAAGTACAACTCGACGATAAGAGAGATAACATGTAACAATGGTTCCAAATAAGGACAAGTCAACAATGGAAAGGATAACAATAACTTCAATTAAAGTTAAGCAATTACGGAAGAGATAACACGGCAATAAAAGAGGCAACAACTTCAATTAAAGTTATATAAGAGTATATTTGGCAACAAGGGTAGGACATGAATCAATAAACTTCAAATAAAACACGTAAGGGTAAATTTAGCAATGGAGGGCATAACATGAAGAGACAACTTCATTTTCAATGTACATGAGAACCTAAGAGTCTAGATCGGTCAAATTTTCACATGTAAGCCGTGTACACACTCTTCATCTCGTGTACACGTCTTTCACGTAGTTCAAATAGTACAAACAAACCAATCCTTACGGGGTAGTTTCTCCCACACAACGTTAGGCAAGATACTTACCTCAAGAGCCCTCAATCAACACTCTAAACTAGCTTTTCCTTTACAATACACCTCCGCTCGGCTCAAATCTAACCAAAATCGAGTTAATATCATCAACAAATGCAAGATAAAGCAATTACAATAAATAAAGCTTTGATCTTTACACTTTTCCCAAAAAGTCAAAAAAAGTCAACCCGGGGCTCGCCGGGTCAAAATCCGGGTCCAATGGTATATTCCGTCTACCCATGACCCCACGAGTTCATATATGTGATTAGTTTCAAAATTCGAGTCCAAATCGACTCGCAAAACTCAAATTCTCATTTTTAAAAACCTTGACAAAGTTTCACAAATTTTCACATGATTGTGATGTTAAAATCTAAGATATATTGATGGAATATGATTAGAAATAGATTAGAATCACTTGCCCAAAGTTTGTAGATGAAAATCCATCTTCAAAATAGCCTCCTACCGAGTCGAGGGTTCCAAAATATGAAAATGAGGCTAAAAATCCCGTCCCTCTGCTTTTGTCTAGTCGCAATTGCGACCTGGGGTTCTCAAATGCGAACCCCGCAAATGCGAAGAACCATCGCAAAAGCGAAGTCCCTCAAACCTCTGCTACAGTCGCAAATGCGACATATTGTTCGCAATTGCGAACCAGTGACACATCGCAAAAACGATCAGAATGATCGCAAATGCGAACCAACCTTACCCAGTCCCCCATCACAAATGCGACCCCAATAGGCTCAAGCTAAACATCGCAATTGCAACTCGTTTCTCGCAATTGCAAGACCCGAAGCTTCTGCACAAAACCAGCAGTGCTTAAACTCTAACAACGCAACGCGTCCGAAACTCACCCGAGCCCTCGGGGCTCCAAACCAAACATCAACACAAGTCTAAAAATATAGTACGAACTCGCTCGTGCGATCAACTCGTCAAATTAACATCCGAAACCACGAATCGGACTTCAAAACACATAAATTCAACATGAAACTCAAGAACTTCTAAAAACACAACCGCACGCTCGATTCCTATCAAATCAACTCGAAATGACGCCAAACTTTGCGGACAAGTTCCAAATGACAAAAAGGACTTATTCCAAGTCTCGAAACAGAAATCCAAAAATGATAGCTATGAAGTCAACCTAAGGTCAAACTTATCAAAATTCTAAACCTTTAAATTTCCAACTTTCAGCAAAACAACACGAAATCAACCCATGGACCTCCGAAATAGATTCCGGTGATACGCCCAAGTCTAAAATCACGATACGAACCTAATGGAGCCATCAAAATACCGTTTCGGGGTCGTTTCCACAAAAGTCAAACATCAGTCAACATTTTCAAATTAAGCTTCTAAAGCGAGAACCTCTCACCCAAATTCATTCTGAATTTGGATCTACCGATCCCTATTTTGGAGGCAGGGTACATCATGGTAGAGGTTTTATGGGTCAACCCGTTCAGTTTGCATTTCAGACTTCACGCGGTGTTTCAAGTATCCATGGGTCCCAGAATATCCGTGCCGGATAGCTTCCACAGCCACATCAGTGGAGAGGTTGCTTTGAGTGTGAAGATACTAGCCACATGGTGAGAGATTGTCCCAGGCTCCGGATAGATGTGGCACCGCGGGGTATTCAAGCTATGAGCTCTGCTCCAGTTGCTGCTTTACCTGCACCGCCAGCTAGGGGTGGAGGTCAAGCGGGTAGAGGTCACCCTAGAAGGGGAGGCCGGGCTTATTGTTATGCTCTTTTTGGTTGGGCAGATCTCAAACTGAAAAAAGGAGAATAAGAGATGATACAGCTCGAGAAGAAACCAAGAGAAAACAAATAACTCTTCAAGAAGAAAAACCCCGGCAAGAAACGATCAGAGCAAAGACAAGGTAAGTGTTTTTTCGCTATCTAGAGAGATTTACAATGTGATATGATCATTGGAAATTGGCTCATATGCTTACACTTTTTATTTACTTTATTTTACTAGCTTTTCCTTCTACTAATATGTAGAACATATGCCTGCCTCTCTGATAGAATCCAACACTAAAACATAGTTGTTTCATTACAAGGTCTACAATTGAATACAAGTAACTGCCCTGTAACTGCATTACGTGCTAAATACATGCAGGATAAGGTACTTGGAATGTCATTGTTCAAAACTTGTATATTTAATCCAGCCAAGTGATTCCATCTTACTACTCAGAGTTCTATTTTATTTTGAGTTATTATTATATAGGCCTAATAAGTGTATCTTTTTCCTCTGCCAACAGTTCAAGTCTATCACGAGTTTATCTTCGCCAAAACTATTTGACAAACTTTTGCACACATGAAATATTGAAGAGGGGTTTCTATGTCTCTGTCATACTTTTTCATTTTTTTCCCATGCCATCTCACTTCAGAGTTCAGACTACACAATTTTGTGCAGTGATTGGAAATGGATTTTGTAAGCATCTCTGTTTAAGGAGATTCCCTGAAATATCAAGTGTTGCAAATATGATTAAAGTAAAAAAGCACAATTGTACAAGTGGGATCTCAGCCTGAAAAATCTACGTCTGGAGTGGGATCATAGATTTATGGCAAAAGGACTTTCCAACTGTACAAGGAAAGATTGTTTAACAAATGCAATCCTTGCATCAAACACCGACAACTATCCTGAAGAAAGCATTCTGAATACATTAGAACCAAGTGACCGGGTAAGCCGCGGGACTTCATATTGGTCAACTAGAGGAGAAACTGATCCTACAGTTCCTGAGACACTATCATATAAATTTATCTCAAACCTGTGCTTGATTTCAGAAATTCATGTACAACCATTTCAAGGTTGCATCTCAAGTTCTATTTTCTATGATGTTATGGATTTGTTCATTCGGCTTATTTGTTTTTTTTCCACATTAACCAGAAACATTATGATGTTGTAACAACATATTTCCAGCTTGGCTTTCCCCTTTATTCAACAAAAGCTGTGAGATTCAGAGAGAGACATCCTAATATTAAAATAGATGTAGAAAGTGACGACGGACATGAATCTGCAGTTGCTCAAGGATCTTTATTGGACAAAATCGTATGGACATATACCTCACACTACTAAAAATCTGCTAAAAACCGACCAAATATTTCCGACCAACGTTGGTCGGTCAAAAAAAGCGATCAAAAACCGTCCAGGTTGGACGGAAATTGGAAAAAAAAAATTTACATTTTTTTTAAAACTAAATACCGACCAACGTTGGTCGGTAAATTGGTCAACGAATTGAC